ATTTGCTTTCTTGATTGCCAATCGACATTTGCTTTCTCGATTGCTTTATTGAACACAATTCAATAAAGAATTAGAATCCTATCAACGTGGATTTTCAGCGCGGGTTTGGGAAGATGGGAGAAGGGGGCGACGTGCAGGAGACTCACGGATCGCAGGGTCTGGTCGCTCTGCTTGATGACCTCCTGCAGCTGCCTCAGCACGTTCACCTTCACGTCCTCCAGCTCCTGGTTCTGCGTCTTGGCGTCGGCTATGCAGGTGCGATACGTGGCCTCGGCCTCCTCCGCCTGAGCGCACAGGGAGAGTCAGAGCCGAGACCGGGGCGCAGGAGGAGGGCACGGGGAATAAAGAGAGTGGGATAGGGGGCGGGGGGCACTGGACATTAGACTCCACGGTACTTTAATAATGGTACCCAGAGGGCAAGGAATCTCCACTGACTGCCTGACTGAGACGGTCTCTATAAGACAAGACACTCTGCAGCTCACACCTATACCACTGCTTTCACCTGACAGGAACCGAACGATCAGATAAGAGTGAGATGTTCCGTCAGCTCCACGCAGAGTTAACAAGTGGTATTCGTCAGCAGAACCATCCTGAAGTCAAGAGCGATATTTCTATTGGATTAAAACGGATGTATTCAAAGATGGTTTTGCTCTCCTCCCCACCGATAGCGAATGGGGTGGGGGGGGGGGAAACCCCATGCCAGACAGTACGTCATCAAAGGTGGGCACGATCAGATTGGCAAAGTGAAATAAACGCGTCAGATGGCAAAAGCTCCCGGCTGCTGCCTGCCGGTCCTCACCTTGTTCCTCGCCTCCTCCTCCAGGCGCCTCTTCTTGTCCAGCGACTTGGTGGTGTTGCTGCCCCCGCCCTGCTGCTCCTCGCCCGCCTTGTTGGCCACCGCCTTGGCCTTGTCGTACTCCTCGCAGCGCACCAGGTAGGCCTGCTTCGCCTTGCGCAGGTTGCTCTCCGCCTCCATCTGCACAGACACCCAGGCACACAGGCACACAGGCACACAGGCAC